ATTTTTTTAAAAATGATACTCATCTCAAAGATTTTTATTGTTTACAATAGAGAAAAAATTTTAATTCATTAGCTTTTGCATTATTAACCTTTTTTTTCAGGTAGCTTTTCTCGAATACTATCCTACATTAGACATTATTCCCTTGAATGATATTAACACTATTTTACCTCGCAAACCAAATTTAACCTATTTACCAGCCTGATTAGAAAATTTTCAAAGGTGTTTCACCATTTCTTTTTTTCTAAATAGTTAATAAGAAAGAAAGAAAAAAGCAACAAAACGATTGAACTTCATCGAAGACAATGATAGAGAACGATCTTCTTCGATAAATTCTCGTTGGAAACAATTTTGTATCTCTTATCTTGTTTGCTCACTTTATATATATATGTATAGTTATTGCTTAAATTTTTGCACTATATACCTATTGTTATATGCCTGCTTGTTTAAAACACAGCTAATTACATAAGATAATAATTCGCAAAAAATATTTTTCAAATAGGTTTTAACTCAAGAAGATTGGAATGAAGTACTTTACAATGGCATGAAAAATACAAGTGTATGAACAGTTTTGTAATTTATTGCATTCATGACATTTGGAAATTATGTTTTATTTAATTTACTTGTTGCTATTCTTGTTGAAGGATTTTCTATACAGAAGTAAACGAAAAAAAAGAAAAGAAATAAAATATTTTCTTTTCTATTAATTAAATTGTTGAATTAAATAGAAAATGGGTAATAATTCTGATACTGGAAGTAATTCAAATTGATATGGAAAAGTTGATCCATTCAAAGTTAGAAGAATTATTTACAGGTGATATTGATATTACTGATAGTTCATATGATTTAATTAATGATGAAACAGAAAGTCATAAACAAACAAGTCAAGATAATAAAAATACTCGAACTAAAGGTAATTAAATAAATTAAATTTAAATTTAAAAAAAATAATTTAATATTATTTCAAGAAGTTAAATAAAAGTTCAAATTCAAATAATTCATCACCATATAAATCAATAATTAAAATTCGTTCATCTCAACTTCAATCATTATCATCATCAACAACACAACGTTTTCATACATGTATTGAATCAATGAATAAATAATCTTCAAAAATT